AGTCGGGAATAGCATTGTGGTACTTGGCTGGCATTGGGCGCTAGCTGCATTTGGGTTTTTGGTGGAATCGAACACCATCCACCTCCAGCTGTCAGTAGTACATAGATAATAGACAGAAACGTTTCGCAAAGGCTCTGAAAGCCAGATTCTGTAATATAGTATGCATACGTATGGTTTGTGGGTAGTCGGGAATAGCATTGTGGTACTTGGCTGGTATTAGGCGCTAGCCGCATTTGGGTTTTTGGTGGAATCGAACACCATCCACTTCTAGCGGTTAGTAGTATGTAGATAATAGACAGAACCGTTTCGCAAAGGCTCTGCAAGCCAGATTCTGTAATATTGTATGCATCCATATGGTTTGTGGGTAGTCGGGAATAGCATTATGGTACTTGGCTGGCATTGAGCGCTTGCCGCATTTGGGTTTTTGGTGGAATTGAACAGCACCCACCTCCAGCGGTCAGTAGTACATAGATAATAGACAGAAACGTTTCGCAAAGGCCCTGCAAGCTAGATTCCGTCATATAGTATGCATACGTATGGTAGGTAGTCGGGAATAGCATTGCGCACTTAGTAAGGCGTGCTAGCCGCATTAAGGCTTTTTGCGAAATCAGACAGTCTTTATCTGTGGCTGTAAAAACAACAATATGCTGTATTTCGCGCTAGGGCCGCTTGTCAGGGTGACGTAATTGCATAGAATACTATACCTAGAACGTGGGCGTAGATAGAATGCCTGTGTAATAGGCTGGTGCCTAAGATTGTTAGCTAGGATTAACTGGCGGCGTGAGTAGAAGCATATTGCTGCAAACTACAGTATATCTCTGCAAACTGTAGTACGCAGCTAGGATAATTAGGGAAGGGGTGGTTTGGGAAAAGGTTGCAGTAACCTTTTCCTAGGCCCCCCTTCTAACAGAGTGAGACCCGGTGGCGCCATGCTAGGATATTGATGGCCCTGCCTCTAGACTATACGCAAGTTAGTTAAGTACTTCTAAACTTTATGTAACAGCAAGAAGATTGTTCTTTCTCCTTATTAAATTTACTATGTTATTAGGCATTTGCCCGCTGCGCTGAGCTATTACAGCCTGCTATTTAGGCAAGGGGTGTAAGCGTCGGCGCACGAGATGATGTGATAAGGGGCGTGCCGTTACTACGCTAACTTGATTTGGGCGGTTTTAGAATTTGAAAGTGTTGGCGGGCAGCAGAAGCCTTTTAATTATTAACTATTATAACATTGTTTGCATCATGCCATCCATTAATCCCCCTAAAAAGCCTCTAGGCAGGCTAAGGAAATTTCCTACAACAGCAGCAGCAGCTGATGCCAGGAAGAAACGCGATCAACAACGATACCTGCGGCAACGCCATCCTCAGGGGCTCGCTGATTTTATTGCATATGAGCCCCAGATTCCCGCAGATGTACCTACTGAGACACCTACAGAAATCGGCCTTCGGACGACCGTTCAGGTTCCAATTTCTCAGGAGGACGAACCTCGACAAACTACCCAGCGACGAAATCTGCAAACGAACCGTCCACC